GGGGAGGTAGCCACTACCCCTATGCGTCTGCTGCTACACCTCAGGCTCAGGATGTTGCAGGTTCTTCAGGTGAGGATTACTACTTCCCACATTTAGCGGCTGGTTCTTTTAACCACCTGCAAAGTAGGGTTTTGGGGCACCTGGCTGAGAATTTTAGCAACCCTTTTGGTGCTGAAAACTCCGGTCAGACCTCAAACCTTTTTCCTTCCAACTTGGTCGCAGGCAGCTTCCAAAGACTAGGCGCACCCTCATCTTCATTCCCCAAGAAGAACGATAGGTCACTCAAGAGTTTCTTCAACAAGATGGTCGTTTTTCTCAGAAGCAAGAATGACCCCGCTGATGATGATGAGGTGGAAGCTTTAGCTTTGTGCTACGAAGAGAAACCTTGGAGGAGACATGTAAACTTGGTGGTCAGGGCTATGCAGGTATATCTTAGCTACATGCACTGACCTTATGGGAAGCAACAAGCCTATTAATTATCCAGAACTTCACTGCGACGAGGACATACCAGAATCTACTCAGCAATTTTTTCAGCAAGCCTAAGTCAGGTCCATGATAAGGGTCTTCCCCAAGTTATTGTCGGATCGGCATTTATACAGATATACTGCTGGCCAAAGGTAATCCTCGCCTATTGATTATCTTGAACTTTACTGCGACGAGGATATACCGGAATTTACTCAGCAATTTTTTCAGCAAGCCCAAGTCAAGTCCATGATGAAGGTCTTCCCCAAGTTATTGTCGGATCTGCATTTATACAGATATACTGTTGGCCGAAGGTAATCCTCAGGCAATGATCTTCGCCACCCATCCTCTAAGCCTTAGACTATCTAGTTAATTCACCTCAAAGGCTCAACCCGAAAAAAAAAAGAAAAAAAAAAAGAAAAAAAAAAAGGAGAGAGATCGAGTCTAAAGAGGTGAACTAACTAAACTAATGGTGAATCTTATGAGCTATTGAGTTTCCTCCCTTTAGAGGCTCCTATTGTGGCCTCACGACCTTTTCCAGTGGGAGGCTTGCTATCTGAGAAATTGCTCAGCCAACCTCCTATTTCTCCATGAAGATTAAAACCAAGTACGTCTTTACTAACCAATTTTTCTTTTTGCATGAATGGAGTCGACCAAGAGAAGAACCCTAGTCAGCAAAACCAGAAGAATAACTTTAGAGGAGGGGGAAAAGGAGGGTACCCACAATAGAATCAAGGTGGTCAGGATACGGGGTTTCTAGGACATGGAACCCAGCCCGACGACGAATGAGTTATTGGAAGGATTTCACCACCTGCCCTCCTTGGAGGATGTGAACATAATTATCTTCAGGCTCTCAAAGATACAAGACTGGCTGAGACAGCCAAATGATTTCAAAGGGAATTCACTTGCCCCTTATCTCTCGGAGTGAACTCAATTGCTGAAATGGCATGACACATCAGACTCAAGGGCAGTCCTCCACTGAATTAAAAGGGGGGTTATCCTCAACCTCAACGGAACCTCTCATTATGATCCTCGCAAGATAGAAGAGTTAGCTCGTGTGATCAGACTTGTGATGACCAAAGCGAAATTTAGAAAAACCCTTAGATACCAAGCGCCACTTTCGGTACATTTCCCGTCCTATGAGCACTCTGATAGGGACACATCTTTTATTATCGAGACTATTCAAAATTTGTTGACTCATGATGTCATTGAAGAATCCCCTTACCCGGTTGTGGTTAATCCAATTTTTGTTCTCGAGAGTTCCTCCAAACTAAGATTTATTATGGACGTACGTTTTGTGAACCGCTTCATCTCTTTTCCGAAATTTCATTATAAGTTTGTCTCAAATGTTACAGCCGCTTGTTTCACCTCCTATGACTGTCACATCAAAAATGGTTACTATCCTGTGATGGTTAATGAGATATCTCAACCCCACCTCGCGTTCGAATGGACTTGAAGTTTTTCCATTTTATAACCCTTTATTTAGACATTTTCTCGGCATGTTAGATTTTCACAACCATCATGCAGGAGATTATGGCCTCACTAAGAATTTTGAAAGTAAAGATTTTTTCCTATATTGACTACTATAAAACACCCGCGGACGCGCCCGCGGGGTCCAGCTCGGATGGCGGCCGTATACAGGCCGCGTCCGCGRCTSACCTGGTCCCCGCCGCGAACGCRAATTTACCATATGTTTCCTGAATTAAATCATGGGTAAAATATGGGGTTGTAGGGATTTTTAATGCCTACACCCYAATATTTTTTTTTAATTGAAAAACGATATGTTTTTATAATTATAAAAAATAAAAAACAGAAAAGGGGGAGAAGAGAAATTCAAAACAAAATTAAAAAAAAAGTTTTTCTCGGGGGCGTAGATTTTTGGTTGGCAGTTATTTGTATTCTTCTTTTTTACTTTTTTTTTTCTTTTTCTTTTGTGTCAATTCGGAATGGAAAATATATATAAACATACATATATATATATATGTATATATATAAAATATATATATATGTATATATATAAAATATATATATATATACAGAGTTGCATGGCCGAACCTACGGAGACCCCTAAGCTAACCCCTGAAAGTTTGGGCGTTCAGGTCCCCGTACGGGGCCCGAACTCGAAGGGGTTCGGGTCTTCGTACGGGGGCCGAACTCGAAGGGGTTCGGACCCCGCAAAAAAATATTTCGGTACCTAACAATGACTATTTTTTTCTGATTTTTTCTGGTGAGTTCTCTGTTATGTAAAGTTTCTGTTTCTCAATTTTGAAGTCATTCTGTGAGGCCAAAAAATAGTGAAAAATTGGCAAAGATGGTGGTGTCAAAACATGCTCTCCCGCTTACTAATTTGTTTTTTTTCTCTTTTCACTTTTTGTTTTCCCTTTATATCGGGGCCTGAAAAACAATATTATTTTTTCAAAATTTATTTCTAGGTTTTCTATGATGTAAGATACAGATGTAAAAAATTTCATGTCATTTGACAGAGGCAAAAAAAAATAAAAAATCGCCAAAGATGGCAATGTCAAAAACTTGCTCTCATTCTTGTTTTAGTTTTTCTTATTTTCGTTAATACTATTTATTTTTCGTATTTGATTTTTATTTCCAATTTGGTAAGAAATTTGGATGTAATATTGAGGCAAATGTTGTTTAGTTTATTCATCTGCATGACATAGTTGTTTTGCGGAATGTTTGGATTTTTTTTTTTTTTTTTTTT